TATCACACAGGAGCATGAGCGCAGCACGGCATATGGCTTGGTGAGGAGCTCAGGCACTGGTTTGTCTCTTGAAAGAAATATTTGGGGGTTTGCAGGTAGGAGAGGTATAAAGTTAGGGTGGGAAATTTATTGACTAAATGTGTGGTCTCCCTGTCCTTCTACTTGGGATTTAGCTCAGAGGGAAAGGCTGATCTCTCCAGAGTCCGAATGCTGGCTGTGGTGTAGTTTGGCCTGTAAACCAGCCTGGCCTGTGAGCTTTTCCACATCAGGAAAGCAGGAGCTGTGATGCTCTGTGGGATCCTGCCTTTCCTGTAGCTTTACTGGCAGGACCATATGGAAATTGCTAGGACAGCTTTGATTTCCCTTTGCTAGAACTTAGCCCAGATTGCACCAAGAGAACCTGTCATCTGTGTACAGGCGTCCCTGTGAGTCCCTGTTCACCTCCATTATCTTCATCAAAGTGGCAGAAGGAGTTCCCCTGGGTCACTGGGGAGGAGGAAATGGGCTCTAGGAAGAAGAGGCTGTAGGAATGTTTTATCCTTCCAGGTGTCAGCCACGTTTGCTGCCAGTCTGGTCACCAGCCCGGCCATCGGCGCATACCTGTCCCAAGCCTACGGTGATACCTTGGTGGTTGTGCTGGCCTCAGGTGTTGCTTTGCTGGATATTGGCTTCATCCTGCTGGCCGTGCCAGAGTCACTGCCAGAAGAAATGCGCCCGGTCTCTTGGGGAGCCCCAATTTCTTGGGAACAAGCCGACCCATTTGCTGTGAGTGATGCCACTGTAATGCTTAATGTTTGCTTTAGTTCTGCTGATTTTTAAGATGGTGACTTAAGCTCTTGGTTTGGCTGTCTCTGTACCTGGAGATTATTCAATGATATCAACTCAATTTTAAAAGCATTCTTTCTCGTTGCCCACCCCCTTCCCTGCAGTCCTTGCGGAAGGTGGGTCAGGACTCCACAGTGCTGCTCATCTGTATCACCGTCTTTCTCTCCTACCTTCCCGAAGCCGGCCAGTACTCCAGCTTCTTCCTGTACCTGCGACAGGTCAGTCTCTGGTGAGGGGGTAAAGCTCTGGGTGCAGGAAATCCTGGCCTACAAATACTGTCAGAGTTGCATGTCCCAAGGTGGCTCTTTTTGGCCAATAGCTCAGTAAAGTTGAAGTTGTAAGAAACAGTGACTTGTTCCAGCTTTCCTGAAAAATGTGTGAGCCTGATGACTGCTCTGTAGGCATTGCCAGGGTCAAGGTCTGGTTTGGCTCCTTGCTGGTGTCTGCCTGGCCATCCTGGCCATGCCACCTTCAGGCACCTTCAGTGATTTAAAGCTGATTCTTCATCCAGAGGAAAATCTTCCCTTTGGTTCCTATGGCAGCCCAGAGGCAGTGGCTGGTTAATGTGCAGGGCCCTGAGAAGTGACATCAGTAAGCATGGGTGACATCTATGGAGTGGCTCTTGTCATCTGATACATGAAAAGTCCCTCTTTGGTGTTTTCACAGGTCATTGGCTTTTCCTCAGAGACTGTAGCAGCCTTTATTGGTGTAGTTGGAATCCTCTCTATACTGGCTCAGGTGAGAAGCAATTTCTGTCTTGGCTCAAGCAGTCCACTATAGAAATGTCCAAAATTTGTGATTTTGGGGCTGATGAGTAGTCAGAACCCCTGTGGCCACACAGACTTTTGAATCATAGAAAATCTTGAGTTAGAAGGCACCCACAAGGATCATCAGGGTCTCTCAGGTTCCCATCCTCTTGTCTCTCAGTGTTGTCATCTTTCTTTGCCCCTGCTTTGAAAACACCTGTTTTTCTTTCCAGACAGTTGTGTTGGGAATTCTCATGCGTTCCATAGGAAATAAAAACACCATCCTCCTGGGACTAGGCTTCCAGATCCTGCAGCTTGCCTGGTATGGCTTTGGATCACAGCCTTGGTGAGGGTTTGCTCATGTTTCTCTCCCTCCGCGGTGGCTCCGCAGCCACTCCTGCCTGTGGCGCCGGGCGAGGCTGTGCCTGGGCCTCACGGCTGCCTCCTCCCCAGGATGATGTGGGCAGCAGGAGCTGTGGCTGCCATGTCCAGCATCACCTTCCCAGCCATCAGTGCCATGGTGTCGAGGAACGCGGACCCCGACCAGCAGGGTGAGTGCTCAGGGGCCCATCCCAGCAGGTGCCGAGCTGGCACACGGGTGGGCTCCTGGCCATGGTGGTGGAGGGGTGGTTAGCAGCATCTGTGCCAGCTGTGGAGTGTCGCTATACTCCCAGCAGTATTGACAGTTTTATCTTTGACTATGGCTGGTGCATTGCAAGGGAACTCCCAATGTGCATGTGGGTGTTCAGTGTTAACTCTCCAAGGCAGAGGAAACTGCTGCGTTTTGCCATCCTCACAGTTTGGCCCTGAGTCCTCAGACTTGGTTGCCTTAAATTCCAGTTCATTGGAAATTGTTGCTTGATGTGCCTGTGCTTATTTCAGTCTGCAAAGCAGCAAGCCCAGCATTACTGATTTTTGTAAAACCTGACACTGAGCGAAGCCGCTCACGTGCAAACCTCCTCCCCCTGCGGAGTGTGCATCAGCCCAGACACAGTGATTGATCCTGTCTCCAAATGTGTAACCATCCTTGAATAAAATAAATTTCTTTGGAAAGCTGGAGGCATATCCTCCCTTCCTCACTGTCCCCAGGTGTGGTGCAGGGGATGATCACTGGAATTCGGGGTCTGTGTAATGGCCTGGGGCCGGCGCTCTATGGCTTTGTCTTCTATCTCTTCCACGTGGAGTTGAATGAAATGGCTGAGGTGGAAACTTTGGGCAAGGCCTCCAAACCCAACATGGCCAACCCTACGGATGAGGTACCCGTTCAGCTTATTTGCCTGTCAGCTTACCCGTTTGCCAGGCTGCGTCTGCTCTCGTGTCTGAATCTTTCCTGTGTCTCTCCCTGCAGAGCAGCATCATCCCTGGGCCACCCTTCCTGTTCGGGGCATGCTCTGTGCTGCTGTCGCTGCTGGTGGCCCTGTTCATTCCGGAACACAACCTGGTGCTGAGGTCGGGCGGCCACAAGAAGCACAGTACGGGGGCCCAGGCCCACCCCCACAGCCCCCCGGCCGGGGGATCGGATGGCAAAGAGCCCCTGCTGGAGGACAGCAGCGTGTGAGGTGGGACAGCGGGACCTGCCTCAGGCTCAACTCCAGGGATGGACTCGGCAGGAGTTCGGGGTGGGGGAGAGAGGAGCCGAGGTAACAGACTGTGCCCCTGACAGCTGCTGAGGAGGGACAGGCTTTCCCTTCAAGCCAAATACACACAGCTGGTGCAAAAATGGAATTGTATCGCCTGGTGTTGATGGAAAGGGGAGATGTGGAACTGCTCCATGTGGAAGGATAGTTCTGGAAAGCAAACCTGCCCTTGCGCGTGAACCCTGCGCCCCGTGCCGTGCCCTGCCAAACCCTCCGCTCGCCAGTCACGAAGGATGGAGCCGGCGTGGTCCGTGTTTGGTGGGAGCTCACTGGGCTGCCTCCCAGAATAAAACATGGCATCTGCTCCGTGCCCCATCCCTGATACAGCTGATTCCTGCCGCTGGCCCCTGGCAGCCCCCGGGGCGGGCGGGGCACCCCCTGTGCCTGTGTGGAGCACAGGGGTGGAGCTTCCTCACTGCCCGAGGACCTGAGGAATTTACCCATTCTGCCCCAAGTGAAACTTAGACCAAAAAAAAATAAATCTGCTGACTTAATGTTCTGATGAAGAGGATAAAAATTAAGAAGTAGAGTTGCAGCTCACACAAGGGAGAATGGGCAGGTGAGAGAAGGGCAACTACATGAATTACAAATGCTTGAATGGCCACAATGGCCATAGTTCTGTTTGGTTTTCCTCTTTTTGTCATGTTGAGGTGACATTTGCCTGTCACTGCCTCCACAGGCAGTAGATAGAAGGATTTTTCAGAAATCTTTTTATGGAGCTGTGAGTGTTGTTTAGGAGATACAGTTCTCTGGGGGGTCAGAGAAACAATTAAACTGTGCCAAGCACTTTGGAGAATGTGGTTTCCTGGGAGAAAGGTCAGAGAAGTGGTTGTTTACCTTGAGCACTTGTATAAAGCATGGTTTGTCCCGGGGCTCCTGCCATCTAATGTTAAACCCAGAGAATGCTTGGAGCTGGTTTATTCTCAGCCCAGGAGATCCTAATGGTGAGGATTGTGTTGATTTGGACTTACAATTCGGAATTCCGTGTGGCATTTCTGAGCCTGCTGTGAAGGCTTTTGTTTATAAAACAGTGAAATTTCAACCTTTGCTGCAGGCTGGCTCTGCTCAGAAAGAGCAGGAGGTGCTTGAAGTGTTGTGAAAGAAGCTGAGGCAACCAGGGAAAGTGTGGTTGTTTATAGAGATGTGACAGAGGGCAGGAAACTATTGTTCTCATTTAAGTAAATCACAAGTAATGGCACTGAGCAGTTCTGGGAAGTAACGACCAAACTGGAGACACTTCGGGAATCTGTTGTTAAGGGAATTGAGGCTGCAGTGGCCACACCAGTCCTGCCTCAGAGTGGGGCCAGTGCAGCCATGGCCATTCTCTGGACAGGGTCCCCTCTCTGTGGGTTTGGGACAGGTAACCCAGGGAAGAGCAACCAAAAAGGAGGGTGTGTTGGCCCTTCACGTCGTGGTTCTTTGCCGACAGGTCATCACTGCAGCTACTGCAAATGCAGTTTGCCTCTGGATTTAATGGTAAACACTGCCTGGACGACCCTGCTGCTGACCCCAGCTGGCACACACAGGGCAGTGCTGCCCATCCCCACTCTGCCTGGGAGCGTCCTCTGACTGCTCTGGAGCCTGTTGGGGCTGGTTGGTGTTGGCTCTGGGCACAGCAAGGGTGGCAACTTCATGTGGGTCCCTTATGTGCCTGTCAGACACTGACAGCCAGGACCAGCTGCCTGCCCAGCCTGGGTAACTGGTAACACAGTGTCAGTTTACCAGTCTTCTGGACCAGTTGGTTATTGAAGGTGGATGTTTAAGTGAAAGGGTTGACAGTTTGTTTTGCATGGATCTGGCCTGGTACCAGATCCTGTGCTCACAACTGGGAGCAGCCTGTTCTGCGAGCAGAGCGGGGCCGTCTTGGACAGGGAGGGATGCTGAGGTGGGTCTGGCTGCAGGGCTGGGGAGCAGAGCCAGCAGGAACTTCAGTGACCTGCCGTGACTCCACTTTTCCCAGGCTCCTTGTGGTGACACTCCCAATTCCCAAATGTTGCTGGGATGGTCAGTATTTGTGTGTGCATAGCAAGCTTTTTTTCTGAAGGAAATCCGGTCACTTGCACTTCCAGGCAGCAGTTCCCCCCCTCCGTGTTCCTCACAAAAATGCCTTTTTTAGACAGGACTTTTACCAAGTCCTGGTGATCTGTTGATCTACACTTGATTAAAGTGAGCTAAAAGTGGGTTTTTCCCTCACATACAGATGAAGTAAAACACAGAATTGTTACCTTGCTCACACAGAGGCACTTGAAGCTTCACGGGTACGATAATAGCGGCACGTTGCAAAAAGACGAGCATAATTTATATGATATAAAGTATATAGAGATATATTTTTAAAAAGTCCCTTCCCTTATTCCATAGTTTATTGAAACTGATGCGTTTCTTGATCCTGTTCCCTCTCACCACCACTGCTGCCTGCGGCTTCTCAGCCTCTCCTTCCCCTCAGGCTGCAGAACCGTCCGGTGACCTTCCCTCTCCAGTCCTGTCCCTCATGACACGACCCCTGAGCTTCTGGCGATGCCGATGTGCCCTGGCTTGTGCGTCACGGGCCTGGAGTGTTTTGATGCCTTTTTCAGCCTTCAAGCTCGGGGTCAGGTGCTGCCTCAGGTGATACCAGGTGAGGGGCTGCAGCCTGGCTGGTGAGCAGCTCTGCTGCTGCCGGGGTACAGCACCGGGAACCAGTGGGGGAAAAGCACTGGGAACCAGTGGGGGAACAGCACCGGGAACCAGTGGGGGAACAGT